GAGCCAGACATCCTGGAGAGTGAAGTCAAGTGGGCCTTAGAAAGCTTGTCTGACAACAAGGCCAGTGGAGGTGATGGCATTCCAGTTGAACTATTTAAAATCTTAAAAGATGACACTGTTATCTTTTAAGGTGCTATATTCAATATGCCAGCAAGTTTGGAAAACTCAGCAGTGGCCAGAGCATTGGAAAAGATCAGTCTACATCCCAATCCCAAAGAAGGGCAGTGCCAAAGAATGCTCCAACTACCATACAATTGCACTCATTTCACACACTAGCAAGGTTATGCTCAAAATCCTCCAAGGTAGGCTTCAGCAGTATGTGGACCGAGAACTCCCAGAAGTACAAACTGGATTTTGAAGGGGCAGAGGAACTACAGACCAAATTGCTAACATGCACTGGATTATGGAAAAAGCCAGAGAGTTCCAGAAAAACATCTACTTCTGCTCCATTGATTAAGCAAAAGCCTTTGACTGTGTGGACCACAACAAACTATGGCAAGTTCTTAAAGAAATGGGAGTGCCTGACCACCTTATCTATCTCCTAAGAAATCTATACGTGGGACAGGAAGCAACGATTAGAACTGGATATGGAACACCTGACTGGTTCAAAATTGGGAAAGGATTATGACAAGGCTGTATGTTGTCTCCCTGCTTATTTAACTTATATGCAGAATACATTGTGCAAAAGGCTGGACTGGAGGAATCCCAAACCAGAATTAAGATTGCCAGAAGAAATATCAACAACCTCAGATATGGTGGCAGAAAGTGAGGACTTAAAGAACTTCTTAATGAGGGTGAAAGAGGAGAGCGCAAAAAGGGTCTGAAGCTTAACATCAAAAAAACTAAGATCATGGCCACTGGTCCCATCACCTCATGGCAAACAGAAGGGGAAGATATGGAGGCAGTGACAGATTTTACTTTCTTGGGTTCCATGTTCACTGCAGCCACGAAATTAAAAGACGCCTGCTTCTTGGGAGGAAAGCAATGACAAACCTAGACAACGTCTTCAAAAGCAGAGACATCACCTTACTGACAAAGGTCCGCATAGTCAAAGCTATAGTTTTTCCAGTAGCGATACTAACAATATTGAGAATTACCACCATACCACACAGTTAGAGCTCATCAAATCACACTCCCCAGTATTCCTCATCCAGAAAGTCATTCAGAGCCCTTGGAGTTACTGTAGAAAAAGTCCTGATCATATTACATACCGTATTATCTTTTGATTTAATGTTTACCCCTATTTCTGTCAAATAAAAGAGATGATGGTCTAACAACAATAAAATACAATTAAAATAAAACTTGAACAAGATCCAGCAGTTCTTTCTCATTGGATCCCATTGCTTCTGCCTAATTCAGGGAGTATCGTAGGGCCTGGCATGCTCTGGTGGAAGGGAAGACAGAAGGGCCTGGCGTGCTCTGGTCCATGGGGTCACTAAGAGTCAGACACAACTTAACTACTAAACAACAACAACAGAAAACAGAGAGTTTTAACATTTGGATAGCTACTCTTTTTGTGCATTTTAGATAAAATCTAATTTTTCTCCAATCTGAAAGTATAATAATCTTTTGGTTTCCTATAGTATGCTATCTTATTTGGCAGAGCCTCAATATACATTGCTTAATTCCAGTCTATTAAAGATGTTAATCACAGATTTCAAAGTAGAACCTACACACATTCTTGCAGTTTTGAAAAGGCAGCTTAAGTTGAAAATTCTTTAAATATCAAAAAGGTACTATTTTTGGATCATGTGGAAAATCATAAATTATGATCTCTTTAATTATTTCCAAAATTATTATTACCAAAATCTTTTTACAGCATTCACACAGAGAAAATGAACATGTCTAGCAGCCTGCAAGTGCCCTTGTTAACAGTTATCATTCTACAGCTTATATTAATCTTTTTATATTACAGGAAGTAATGATCAAGAAAATTGTCCTATACAGTAGTCTGCACTTTGTTGGTTTTGTACACATAGATACAGGTGTAAATGCAGATCAGATCCCTAGATACATTTTCCCATACTCATGAGCATTTTTCCACTAAAAGAAATTTCAAATGTAACAGAGTTACATTTAAAAGAACCCTGGGAAAAGCATTTTTGTCGAAACAATGACAAATGTGATAATGATTTTTATCCCTATACAATCTACAAATTCTTTCACAAAATTCTTTCCACAGCAGTTTGGTTACAGATTTGGGAATGGTTAGTGACTAAGTACTTAAAGAAGCACTGATTAAAATCAGAGGTATTTAAAATGATTAAGTTAACACAAACACTAGCCAGCTGGATCATGCTTTCACATGTCTGTATAAAGTACACAAGTCTGAGGAAGGCTAGGCCTGGAACCTAGAATCCTTTTATTCCAGATTAGTTGTATTTGAGACAATGGAACAGCTCAGAGTAAGCAGATTACACTTTAAATACTATTACTTAATTTATGCCCCACCACATGTACAAAAGAAGATCTAGTAAACAGCTGAGGTAATGCTATTGAACTAGTCTGCTTCTGTCAAAAACTGTCTAATTATCTTAACGTTTTACTTTGTTTTTAATTTTATATTTCATATATGTCCATAATGTAAATTTATTTATTGTACATGAAGAAGACTTAAAAGGTACTTACTTTAGTCATAACCTGTGCCATTTCAAAAGTGCCCACAGTATCCATATTTGCTACAA